CAAAATCATTTTTCAGAAAGGCTTTGGAAAAGTTAAACAAATCTGACAGAGTAACTACAACAACCTTAATCTTTTCCAACTGTCGAAAATATTAAACAATACTGAAATGTATTACTTAAAAACATATCTTAGAATGCTTTCAAAACCTCGCCAAATGATCCCCCTTCCAAATTTCAAGGTCCCATAATAATAATATATATACTGTATACTTTTATAGCATTTACTGTATATTTAATATTATTGATTAAACTTGGTAAAAAAACTTGGAGGTTTACATTTTTCGATGTTATATTGTGAAATCAACATTGTAATCAAATTATGGTTTCAGTACTGTTCACTATTCTTTTTTCTAACTTTTTAGGAATTGAACTCTTGCTAAAACAATATGATATTATGTGATGGAAACACAATAATCATGGGAGAAGTCCAATATTTTCTGGGATATTTTGTTTAAGGGAGTTTTACAAATTAACAGTGTTATTTTGAGATTCAAACCTAAGGTGTCGTGCCCTGATTGTTATATGAGCGTGCTATGGTTACAGAAAGGCAGACCATAGTTAAAGGAGCACAGATACTCAAAAGTGTCAAAGATCCTTTCCTCTTTTTTTTTTATGCCTGTGGCTTCCAGCTTGTTCTGGAACATTACTGTCACAGAAAGGGCTATTTTTGGACACAGAGCAAGTTTTTTTCCCCATGTCATTTTTTTTTTCTGGACTGTAAAAACATCTGTGCCAGAAAAGAAACAACACACCAGCTCTAAAGAGTAAAGAAGTGTGAGGTGAATCAATACTGGTTAAGTGCATGACTGACATCTCCACACAACAATGAACCACATTGTTCATTTGAAATGAGAACTTTTCTCTTTACTCTGTACTTAGTGGCCGCATTTCCAGGTGGTCTCCATAATGAAAAAAAAAAACATATTGCATTTATTAGCCTGTGAATGAGTTGCTTTAATGTATACATCACAGAAACTGTTGGAATCATGGGGTCAAGGCAGAAGGGCTGGGGTTGACATTAAAAACACGTTACTGTATCCTACAAATTGACTGTTCTCATGCTCAGAAAACACACACAGAACAGCATGAAGTTCACCATTCAAAAGTTCCTTGTCCAAAGTTTTCATGTATTAATTATATACTTCTATCCATCCATTCCAACTGCTCCATTCCAATTCAGGGTTGCAGGTTACACCCTGGACAGGACACCAGTCCATCGCAGGCCACACAGTGACACACAGTTTCACACCAGGCCAATTTTCCCAGAAGCCATTTAACCTACCAGTATGTCTTTGGACTGTGGGAGGAAACCTTAGTACCCAGTGGCTGAAGGATGCAGAGCAGGGCTCTGAGTGATCAGCAAGTGGCAGGTGAAAGTAAAAATGACAGCATCGCGCTGGAAGCTGGGTGCAGTGACACTCAGTTCGAACACAACAAAGGAAGATGCAGACTTCATGCTCAAAGAGATAGCAACGGTCTCCGAGAGCATGATCAAAGGTACGAGCGACGGGTCAGTACACAATTGGTCAAAACTGGCATACACACCGAGATCGTGAGGCTGGGAACCCCTCAAGAGAAAGGGTAGCAGTGTTTGGGAACATGCCGGACACTCAAGGGAATAACCTGGATGACAGAGCACTGAGCAGGAGATGAGGCAGGATTTAAATACTGGAGAAAATACCAGGGATAATAAGGTAAGTATCTAATTAACTGGATGCATGGGGCACTGATAATCGCCCATACTGTGTACAGATAGCTCCGTCAGCAGCTTCAGCTTGCATGGAGATGTTAGTTATCATAGCGACATGGGGGTTTAACTACTACTGTACCCCAAAGATTATTTTATGTCACAATTTATTAAGTTCTTAATGTCACAAATAGGTGTTTAAATAAAAAAAACAGTATCAATAATACAACACATAAAACTCCCAAGAGGTGATTTTAGTGTTTTAGGACACCCTTGTGTATACCACCCCAAGCTTCATGTTATTAAAGAATGTGTTCCCTCATCACTTTTTTAGGGGTTTTTACTGTGTTAACCTACAGTATGAAATCTAGGTCTTTTCAGGTTCAGTGAGCCTTAAGTTCTTTTCATTTCCATGTTGTGTGCAGCTGGAACTAAAAAATGGGTATCTGGAGAAATCTGTGGCTTACTCACAACTGTCGCAGCTTTTCTCTTTGAATGATATATACCTCGTGCTGTTTCATAAATTTATTGCTGTCATAAAGCATTCAATTAAGCAGAATCCTAGAAGCCATGAGAGAATTCTAACACCTGGCCTGAGGTCAACCAACACTAACTGTTTACTTAGTCAATGATCAGGACTGAAGTTTTGACAGATTAATAAAAATGCCAAGCGGTTTCATGTCTTGATGAAGAGTCCTGTCATAATGATTTTCCTTCATGCCATGTGCTCTGTGCGGAGTAATCTAATAAAGGTTATTAGGGTAATCATAAGGACGATGACATTAATCACATGAAGCACAATGAAAGCATTATGTCACTTAATGAAACCAGGTAATTACTGTATTTAATGGAAATGATGCAAACCTAAATAATTGTGTAGAATTTGTTCAATATTTTGTTCAATACAAAAATAAGAGAATTAGAATGTAGCAGCAGCAAATGAAATTCAAAAAGATTTATATGAAGTTCATAACTGGGCAGATACTGTGCCTGGCAGAGAGTGTAGACAAGTGCAACATACTGTATTACTGTATACAGGTAGCAAAAATATGAACTATCAATACAAAACGGGAAAGGCTGAACTTGAAAGACCAACTTTTGGAAAAAACTAAATTGTTTATATTGAGATCAAATTTACATCTCCTATACAATGTGGGAAAGCAATAAAAAGGCAAGCAAAATGTCAGGATACATATTTATAAGAGTAGAAATGAAATAATGTTGAATTCAAATTGCATAATGCACTATTAACACCTTCTTTAAAACAACTGTGGTCATCAACTGGCAAAAAAATATTGCTGCTCTGAAACAGCCCAGAGAAGAACAACCAGATAGTCCTGCTCTGACAGGTTAAAAGAGCTAAACCTTTTTAGTCTTATACAGAGAAGACCACAAAGTTAACCCAATGAACAGTGAAACATGAAGCAGATGACAGAAGTGGAAACTCTGTGGAAGTTCATTAGAACAGGAATCATTTCTTTAAGCAAGGAGTAAAGAAAGCACGGATTTCATCCGGCAAAGTTAGCAACTACCAATATGACAGGGCTCAATGGCTTGCTCTTGTTCATAACCATTCTTATGCTCCACTGATGTTCTTAATATTAAACTGGCGCACTACCTAACAATTACTGTAGGTCTCTGAATGAAAGAATCAATGTGTATCAATGTGTTTGTGACAAATTAGTAAATTAAAGAATTTAATAATATTATAAAAGTTCTTATAAAAATGAGCAAAAGTACATGTTGGGAGGAATGGTATCCTGTGAGATTACAAAGTATGCTGGAAAAAAAATATTGTTTGGTCTCAATCCAGAAGACATCAACAACTGATATGATTTACTAGGTAACAAGCTGACAGAAAAAGAGTTCAACCAACAACTTATTTTCCTGCTGCTGCAAAATGTGGAATGATCTGCCATAAAGTATTAGTGCTTTTAAAAACAGAAAGATAGCTCAGTGTAAATTTAAATGAAACTGAATCTGTAAGTGGGCCAATCTTTATGATCCTGCTTTTCCAACATTTCCTTGGAAAATGGCAAACAGCCTCGTCACACATCATTTCATAAAAATGTGCAACTGCTGTACATCAGAGCTGCCCTTAAGGGCAATAACGGATCTATAAAAAGATTCTGACTGATGGTGTTAATTATTCTAAAAAACCCTAAAAATTCGTGATTAGCAGAGCTCCTTTTAAATAAAAACATAAAAGCACCGTCTACTATTTCAAGTAAAAATAGAAAATATATTACATTGAACACAGATACCATTCCAGCATTTGAAGAACTGCTACAGAGCAGTTGTCATTCTTCATAACTGCACCTTGCAGATGCGCACTGCATAGATTTCAATATATTCACAAATTGAAAGCAGAATGAATACCAGTGAGTATTTGTGTTTTATTACACATATTCTACAGTTGTAGTTATAGATTAGACAGAACATTACAAATTCTGTGATAAATCCCTTCAGATACCATCCATTCACAGTGGCGTGATGTGCAGAGAAGGAAGAAAAACATTTCTGCTCAGAACTAGTATTGCAAGTGAAGTAAAAAATCTTCTTTTATGATGATGCATTGGCTTATGGTACAGTATGTCTGTGTCCTTTTCTCCACAATGATTTAATATCCAATAAGGATTCAAAATTCCCTATTAAATCTAAATCTTCTTATATTTAAACATGTTTTGCCTAAAATTTATACTTAAGCATTCAAAATTGAGTAAGGCAGGTATTTAAACTGAAACCTTTTAAAGTGAAGAAATGTAATTAAAATCCTTCCTGTCATAGGTACTGAATATTGGATATCTTGCAATATATGGCTTATATACAGTATGAAGATATATCATGTCATATAAGTATTTAACTAGATATGCAGTCTGAATAGTAATTTACTGTATGCAACTGCTAAAAGAACTGCCTTAATAAATAGAGCAATCAAATAAAATATACACAATATTGTTTTCTGCTGAATCCAGAATTAAAATACTAGCACCTTAACATATCTGGATTTTTCACAACATTACAAGAAACACAAATATGAAAAGATAAACCAGGCAGTCTAAAGGGGAGCTGTCAACAGATGTTACACATAATATTTGGAATGAACACTGTGATCTGTGTCTTTTTGTAACTGCATTAGGCTAACTGTCAAGTGTACCATTTGAAGACACACGAGAGAGGTTATTGCCTTCGGCTTACCCGTGATAAGTCTTATTAAGTTTGTCACATTTCCTTGAATGGTTTTGTGGTATATATTAGGCACTTAAAAGCTTAGAAACATGGCAGGTTACAACACAAAAGTAAAATACACTTACGGCAAAGGTTTTCCTGGGTTCGGGGGTGAAACTAGGCCTGAAAAAGAACACAGAAATGTACTTTGGATCAGTTGACCACAGATTTCTTACACATGTTGCTAGGGCAAACCATGGGTGGTTTTATAAGACAGTTTTACTAAGCTCATGTTGACGGAGTAGAGATTTACCTTTGATCATCAGTACTGGGTAAATTATATAGATTTATTTAGTTAAACATGAAGTTACACATTAAATTACTTTAATTGTATTGCTGGCCCGAAGCTTGTCAAAATATCCACTACCATGTGTCCTACGTTTATAGCATTTTCCTCAGCTACAATTGCAGCTTTTTGCTTCTTAACTGGGGTGTCCTTCCCCAGTACGGTAAAACGACTTAGAATCCGCAGTTCAAGGAGACCACAATACATAAATAAACACATGCAATACGTACGTAACTGAAGACATTTTGATATTCATTTTAAAGACACACTGGCTACTCACATTGTCATTATGCAAGTTGTTACTGCTATATTTCATTCAAATAAAGCCAAATATCTGTATGTTTATCACTAAAAAATGTAAAAAGAAAGTGAAAAGTACTTTTCAGAACTGCTTGCTGGCTTTAAACATTAGATGTTTCTCTAGGTCAGATTACTTTGGATCAGGCTTTTCTTTTACCTTACAATATAAGGTATGTGCAAAGGCTAGCTTTTAGGTATGACTAAAAGATGGCATTTTGATTGGAGGTAAGAAACACTGCACAACGTTTACATTTTTTGCTTTGAACTTGAAGACGAGGTTACTGTTAAATCTCACCGAACTTGACAAAGAGGACTCCGGTTGTGGACACGGTGCCCTTGACGTTGGTGGCAACGCACTGGAAGTAGCCGGTGTCTGTCGTGTCAAGATTGCGGATCCTGAGCCGGGAGCCGTAGCTGGTGGCACGAAAGGATACCCTCCTGGGCTCCTGGACTACCGGGGCATCATTCTTGAGCCATCGGATGACAGGAGTGGGGTTCCCTGACACCTTACAGTGCAGCTCTGCAGTCTGGCCCTGAGATGTAGTGATGTTGTTCATCGGGGCTTCCAGCTTCAAGAAATAATCTGTCCAAAAGAGAGAGGCACACAATTGTGCCCTTTACTAAAAACCTGTACTGTAGGTTCAATTATGGTGAGCTTTTCTAAACAGTGTAGCTGATTTAATTTACTTCAGAAAAAAAAGTAAGGAAAATAACCATTTCATTAATAAAAAATAAGATAATATTTTTTATGTTCTATCATCTGTTACTTGTCAGTAGAACCTGTCATTATTTCTCAGAACCGCCTTCCTAACGTTGCATTATTCTCCTCAGTAAGTTCAGTGGTTAACGAAAATGAAATTACAAGGAAATCCTCCAACAAACTGAAAAATCTGGATGTGGAGCAGTGATTGATTCAAATAACATTCCTGCTACCTCTTGTTCCACTCCCATGCTTCCAGCTAAAGCCTGTGCAACCTTGGGTTTGAATGAGCATGACCCACACAAAAATAAATACCAAATCCCAGAATTTCTGCCACAGTTTATCCAAAGGAAATATCAACTCTTAATACTGACACAAATTCCATCCCACACTGAAGACACATTTCTGAATCCTGCTCTGCATAACTCACAAAATTGCAACAATTTTCTTTTTTTTGTGTGTGTAATTACTTTGACTCTTGGTTAAAAATCCTTTACAAGATGTTTTGTGGTTGCCGCTGTGGTAGCAAATTATTAGGCTTTTCACCATCAGACGGCTTTGCCAAAGGGGTTTCAAAAACACTTGTGTCACAGAAAACCCTGGAAACTCACCCTCCAAACCTGTTAAGTCTAGCCAGACATATTCCTGGTTTTGAGTGTCTGCCAATATAAACATGACATCTCCACATTTTAAACTGCATGAAGAGCAAACACTGCTTGTGGTAGCTCTTCAGAAGCCCAGCGCAGAAAGCAGGAATCATTTCAGCTGACTTTGATGAATGTAATGGTACAAACTATTAATGATGGTGTACACAGCAGACAAAATGAAAACCTGTATTTTCCACGGTTAGTTCAATATGCAAAGTCACTGACAGTATGCCTTGGTGTATGTGGCTGTGTGTATGTCAGTGGAGTTGGTGTGCCACTGGAGATGCCAGGCTGATCCCATGATGGTTCCCTAAAATTACCTTCTAACTATGCGACAAGATTGGTGGGGGTCCCTTAGAGATCTATGCAAATTAGTCATTTGTGCACTAAATGAATGAATTTGGCAGTGTAGGTAAATTCAAATACTTATTGCTCCAATACACATCTGTGTGTACATAATGTAGGTGTCTGTTTTAAAGCAGCTTGTGAATGGCTCAGGGAAGGATATTGCAATACTAAGAACTTGACTATGAAGAATCCCAACATCTTCTGTGTAGCTTTCAGGGCAGCTTCAAGGAGGGGGACAGCACCCCCCACAGCTGCATTAGGGATGACCACTGCCCTGAAAGGAAGGATGATCATATACCGTTAACTTATTAAACTTAGCCAAGAGACCAGCCTGGCAGCCAACTGCTTTTTTTAGGAGACACACTTCTCAAATACCTTTGTTGTACGGCTGTTGAAAAGTTGGATCCAAGATGTGAAAGAAGGAAAAAATAAATCTGTCAGTCAGACCATTTCACTGTCTGCTTTTTTATTACATGCATGTTTCCTTCTTTCCTATAGCTTTTTAAAACAAATTAAAAAAACGTGTTGTTATGAGGTTAGGACATGAAAATCATGCAACTTGTAACTTGCATGTTTCTTTTTAATAATTTCCTTGGCTGACATTTTATCTAAAGGATCTCAAAGGAGTTACAATTACCTGTTTTTTTACATGCCAATTTTGGTACCCATTTATACAATTGAGTTTGCTGGAGCAACCTAGGTAAGTACTTTGCTCAAGGGTACAGAAGCAGTACACATACCTAGGATTTGAATCCTCAACCTTCTAGTCAGGAGTCAGTGCCCTAACAAAATTATGATATTTAATTATGACACTGGCCTAACTAATTGAGTTATAACATTGGCCTACAATACCTGCTTTTGTGACTACAGAAATGGTTGTGGAACACTGAATTCAAAAACACTCTTTGATTAATTGTGTTAGTTCATTCACAACAGATCTGTCAAAGGTGTGGCAATACTTCTATGTAAGTACAGCAAGGACAGAACAGTTGTACATCGTGTTTTAATCATGGTGTAAGATCATATATACCAGCATTTCCCTCCGGTCACTAATTATAAGATGCAAAAACATACATCTATGAGCTTTAAATCAAAAGCTTGCATTAAGGCTTTTCAAGACCTTGAATCCAAGTCTAAGCCCTCACGTGTCCAGAATTTATTTGTTCATTGCTATCTGACAGCCACAGAGAAGGATTTCAATAAACTATTGGTTTTATTAGTTCTCAAGAATGCATGAGAACACTTGGCTTTCCTTATCCAGGGCACCTATTTCAAGAGTCATAGTAATCTAAAGACAATAATTTCTTCGTTTTATTTTGTAAAGGGGGCCTTCAGTCTTTCCATGGATTCTTTCTAAAGAACATAAACTGGTCCCTTCTGGCGTTTTTCTTGGCAGACTGTGTCCTCTCTTTCAGACTGATGTCAGACTCTACAGGGATTTTTTCATCTTTCTGCGTGCAATAAGATGACTGGCTTTTCTCGTCATCTTCCCTATCTTATTCAGACAGGCCACAGTGAGCGATAACTCCAGAGAAAAGGCAGCTTTGCTTTTCTTCGTAATTATTTCCCGATAAATAACTTAATCTTCCAAATGCTGAGTCATAATGTTTAAAAACAATATAGAATACATTGCAGAAATGATTGCAGACCATCGCTTGGTCACTGATTTAACACATCCTTGAAGGCCATTCTTAGGATTTTTGATAACTTCATCAACACACATTTTAATGTGAAACAATTCAGCGTGTGATTTAATTTGGGGAAAAAATATTTCTCAACGTCCTGGGGGTGATATCACTGAAAACAAGAGGGAAAATATTTTTTGGAGGAACAGTGCTATCTTTTGTAAGGGGAAAAGTCAAAGGCATTGTCTGTAAAATCATTTCACTGATGCTGAGGTGCATTTATGGACTACATTTAAATTTATTATTACTATATCACTATTTATGTGAGAAACCCAGGTTTAAGAGGCATGAATCAAATTGATTTAATGATAGCCTAAAGGCTCATTGACCATATGTCTAGATTTAATTGTTCCCAAGGAGCCTGAACAAATTTGTGGAAAGGACTTCAGTGTCCACACCCTTTTCAGTTTGACAGTACGCTCTCTCTTTCATTAAGAACATCTCATTAATAAAGTTCATGATCGTAATGTATGAAGTGCTAATTTGCTATTGTGAATATTTAGCATAAGAAATAGAGGGGCAAGACCCTACATCATTTTTCACAATACAGTTAAAAATATACTAAGGCTCAAAAACTGTTTAATTAAACAAGTAAATAAAATAATGGAGCCAAAAAAAAAACAAAATAAAATATTACTAAAGTGAATTTTGAATTAAAAGCTCTGCTAAAATGTTCTGAATATTTATTTGGAGAAGTACTTTTGTCTACAAACTCTGGGCATAGCTCATACACACACAAAAAAATTGTTTTACTATTTCATGCACTTTTCTGACAACAGCAATGAGATGTATGTGCCACCATCACTTTTCCATTAAACTAGACTAGAATTGTGGTGGTCTTGTGTGGAACTTGACCCAGTCTAGTTATAACACAGCAGATATTTTAAAACAGCCTAAAACTGTTTTGCTTTTGTCAAGGGGATTGCTTTTGTCAAGACTAACAACTCTGAAAACTCTAAAAGACTGATCAATTCCCACAGTGCAACTCAGACAGATTACATGTTAGACACGACTACAAAAAAAACCCTCCTGGACTAATCTCACCTTTCCAGATATAGAAGAGTCCTCTTTTTCTCAGAGGTCCCTCTTATCCCTTTGCCTTCAACTTCAATATGTACTTTCAATTAAACCTCAGGAAATTTAGAGCAGAAACAATAAAATACTGAGTGTGACCTTTAGCACTCTTCACCTTTAAACTGATCCATTCAGATTACTAACGAAAAGGCAAATAACGGTACTCAGAGAAACATCCAAGCACGCTCTGCTGCAGCCGATAATTGGGGATAATAGCGTGGGACAGTTACAAGACTGTTGGGGGAATTTAAGAATTTCATCTGAAATTGTCATCATCAGTCTGATATCTCCTGCACTGCCAGGATTAATGTGAAACAGCATTTCTTGACTTAAATTTTATATTTGAACAATGGAGTGCATCTCCAAGAGGTCATCTCAGCTAGGAAAGAAATGTCTCTACCATTTGCCCACTATTGTTTCCACTTCAATGTTGAGTAGTCTGAAAATGAACCAGCAAAACGAGACAACAGATAACTGAATTAAAAAAAAAACATGGTGTTAATAGATCCTTGGGTTTGGAGGTGTCAGTCCCTCACTTGACAAGCTTACCTAACAATCTAATGTTTCTAATGTTTTCAACCAACGGAAAATGTGAAAAATTAAAATAAAATGTGAATAATATGTCCAAAATAAAAAATAAAGAAGAATGGCTGTTAGACTTGCTCACCAGATCCTAAATCGATGCAAGGAATATATTTTATTTTGGTTTTGTGACAGAGCCAGCTAAGGTTTCTCCCCCTGGTATGCCTCAGAACTGTGAGGTCTACAATGTTAAACACCAAAGCCACTGAATAACAATCTAGCTCTAGAGCAATGCAGATTTGCTTTCCATAGAATGTCAGTCTGTTTCTATACTCTCTGGCTTTCTGAGCTCAGTGGCTTCCTGTAACTGGAGCTCCTCAAGTAATGATAAATTAAATTCATTTTTATGGGAGTGCAGCAAGGGGACAAACAAAGCACAGCGTACACCAGGGTTGGAAAAAACAACCATAAAGTAAACTTTCAGTAGTTTAATTACTGATCTGTCACAAGCTTTACCTCAGGATTTTTAGGTAAGACCAAAATCATATCATCCAGCCCTAATCCAAACCGTATATGTGTAAATGCGAAGCAAGACCAATTTACATGTTTTGCCCTAAGGATAACATTACAGAATGTTGCTAGTTTGGAGAAGGTAAACAAAGACAGACCAGGCTAATTAAATCCATCTGACACCACTGCGAGCCTGCAGCCTAGGCCAGGGCATTGAATTCTCATGGTGCTCCATGGAAAAAAAAAGTTATTAAAGATGCTCTGCTGGAACATAAGGTTTTGCAGCAGAGGAGTTGTAAATATATTGACAACCTCCACTTTCAAAAACTATTAACAGAATTTAAGCTGTCTTTTTTTCCCCCTCATTTCAAAGGTTTTGCACTTACCTTAACCTCCTGGGTTTCTGAAAAGATTGCTTTTTTAGAGACAGATATCTAAACATATTCAGGCGGTGCAGTGGCTCTGTGGCTAGAAAGTTGCCAGTTTGGATCCTGTGGCTGGCAGAGGAAGCCTGCTCCGTTGGGCCCCTGAGCAAGACCTTAACCCCAACTGCTCCAGGGGTTATAAATGGCTGACCCTGTGCTCTGACCCCAAGCTTCTCTCCCTGTCTGTGTCCCCCATGGAAAGCAAGTTGGGGTATGCAAAAAAAGAAATTCCTAATACAAGAAATTGTATATGGCCAAAAAAGTGATCTTATCTTATTACCCAAAACTATATTTTCTCACCGGATGCAGCTGTCAGGTATCACAATCGAGGCATCAGACTATACTGCCTGAATGCAACACTTTCCAGATTGCGATGCATTTCCAAGAAAAGCACACCAACAAAATAAAATATATCTCCTTACCTTTGTCTGCATCACTGGAAATATTCCATGATGGAGTTGCTGTCAATTGAGGATCTGGAAGCAAATCAGATCCTACAAAACAAAACAAAAACAATGCAATCACCAATCTGTGTGGGATCATTGTCTGTTATAGAAACAGCATGCGAAGGCCATAATCCTAGTTTATGACAATGAATAAAACACAAATATGTACTTCCAGCAGCTTTCTGCTATTATTCATCTCCATATTGTCTTCTGTCTCTGCAGATACTATCTAGATGTGATTCTGCAGAGAGAAAAATTGCTTTTGCTGATCACAACTTAGTGCTGACGTATCGTGACATCCCCCTCGACATTGCAGAATTAAGTTTTCAACTTTGGCCAGCAAGCCTTTATTATAATCTGTTTTTTGTTTCCTCTCTCCAAAGCCAAAAACTCACCCATATGTAAAATTAACTTAGTAATATATCATCTCCGCTCCCAGCAGGTTTTACTTGCTAAGTGAATAAATTGTCAATGTGCTGACAGTCTCAGAGCTCTTTTGGCACTGCAATGTGCAGAAATAACTCTCTTGGTATCCCCTGGCCCTAATTAACACCTGGAAACCTACTGACTGCCACAGACAGGTCTCCTGAACTCAGCACTGACATCTGCAAACACAGAAGCAAATTCAGAGCACCGATGAATTTGTTAACTGGATTGTTTCTTTTCAGAGGCATGGAGACTGAAGCACAGGGATATGGTTCTCTTTTCATCTAGTTAGAGAACCAAAGTTTGATTTTGGGATAAAAGAGATGCCAATATTGATGCAACAATCTGCCATTTTCTTTTTTCTTACACCAAGGTCCAAATAATTTCTCTTTTTCAGTCAGTGGATCTGGCATGTAACATACACATCAACGGCATTCATGGTACAGAGTAAACATTTGCGTGGAATAGGACTGTCAAACACCAGTTGACCAACACAATGTACAAGTAAGTAAATTGGTACTCTTTGAAAGTCCTCTTCCACATCTGTTTTCCTTTTACAATAATCTTTCTATTGCAGTATATTCTCAACAGCCAACCTGGCAAAAAGAGTAAGCAGGTTCTGCAAAGCCATCGGGCAGAAGGAGCCACTCTCAGTAAAGGGCAACAGTTGTTGGAAGAGCAAGTGTGGGAGAGAGACACTGTTGTGGCGCAAGTGTGAAACTGTTAAGTGGGTGTTAATCTGTCGTAAAACATGACGCGTGTTAAAACGAAGAGCCTTTAACGAGGCCTGGAAATTAGTTCACACCTGGCGTCACAGGTTGCACCTCCACCATGCCACAGCAGAAAGTTGTCAGGCTGCCCTGCTTTCAGTACTGTCAAGTCAGCATTGAGGGTGCTGTGCTGAACGGCGCATGTGAATTGTTTTCTTACTGTACTCATAGGATAACGTTGCACACGACAGCTGCCTAAAAACAGGTGGCTGAATGCTTGCTAGAGTCACAGTGGAATAAAGCAATGTGTAAACAATCATTAAATTATTTTTTTTGATGAAAGACTGGGTGATTCTCCTCTTCTACAGTGCTTAGTGGGTAACCTACTGAGGACATGGAGTAAAGCAGTCACATGTGATTCCAGGAGCTTAAAGGCTAGAAGATGCATATAATCTATATGCCAGCTATATAATACTATAACTCATATCGCTAACTCCTTTCGTATCATTTTATTTTGTCGATTATAATAATGTTTGGGGGAGCCTAACGAATATGTAGTAGTGAACTCAAATGATAAAATGGCCTGTTCATCTGACTTTGATGAATGCAGGTCAATGGTTGGGTGAAATCAAATTTAAATGCACCCAGCAAATAAAATCTACTAACACAGAGCCTGATTGCAGGTTTCCAAAACAAAAATGCCAGCAAAAACTAAAAAGATTATAACTTGTCTTGTAACAGGAGATGGCTTGAAGTTCTGTGCAAACTGGGCCCGGGTACAAATAAAGTGATACTGAAAAAACAAGAGCACAAAAAGCCCACCTGCAAACCCGCAGTGGGGATACACTTGAATAATTGAAGTTTAATTACCACAAAGTAAATTTGCAAACCTAGAAATGTCTTCCTGATATACTGAAGTCAAAACACTAAATATCTGCGGTGCAAATCTGTTTATTGAGGGATTTCTTAGCCACTGTGGTACTTCACATTTATTTGTAAAAGGATGTCACGCATGGGTTAACTCTGTAATAGTAAGAAACCAATGGAATGCAGGTAAGGGCCAAATAAAAAAGTTGAGGTAAGCCAAAGGGATATCAAAACAAATGAAAGGCATTTTTCCAGTTTGTGAACATCTGCTAGCTAACCCATCATTATACAATCAAGAAATATCTAGAAAATTGTGGGGGTTATTTTGAGATTAGCATTTAATGTTTTCCAGCAACAAAGGATGGTTTTATTAGTAACATTTGCTAATTATGTCCCAAAAATAGTATGGGTCACACAGGCTGTCCATGAAATAGAGCAGATGAAACAAAGCAAATCTTTGACATTGACACAGAGGGGTAGCTGGCTTAGTCACCCTACCCTATAACTATTTAACTGAATAAACTTCACGTTCGGACTAAAATGATGTATGTGAGAATTAAAATGGATGATACGTGAACTATATTGCTGCTCACTTTAGAAACATGTGATTTTCTTTTCCTGCTGCAATTTTTCGTTTGACTTTTTTCAAGTTTCTCCGTTGACAAGCATCACGAACCCTGTTACATAGTGCACTGGGTTACACACTTTTCCAGACTAAAGAATAAGCAATTCTGATTTATTCAGCACCTAATTAAAATGTAACAGTGCGTCCATGCATCTTGCTATGCAAATGACAAACTAAACCCATGTTTTGTGGGATTTTGGGATTGTCAAATGAACAATTTCAGGGTTATCCTTACATTCAGATAAATATACAACAGTGCAAGTATGAAAACACTGAAGAAATGACCAAGGATTCATTCATTATATATTTTTATTTTCATTCCTTCAGCTCCTCATTTGGTTGGTTTAACAGATGAAGAAGGAAATTGTATACAAAGACATTTCAGAAAGGGAACAGAAAATATTTGATGAAAAAACTACTGAAAAATAAAAAAAAAACAGCAGGAAATGGTACATTCTCACATTCGGATCTCAGATACCATAGGGCTGGTTCACGGCTGTGGATGCTGCCTTTATGAGTTATTAAGGTAATTACAAAGAACTTTCTGATACAAGTGGAAAATATAATCTTGGCTCACAATGGTTTGGAGAATATAAAAACATCCAAACTTTAAAGCAAAAGTCGAAAAAAAACCAAACCAGTAATATAGCCAGCATTCTGTGGTCCAATGAGATCTGAGCTCACATTGAGTATTTTGTTTTGGGCATAATGTGCCTCTACTGCCAATGCTTCTAAAACAAATACTATAGAGTTGGTTCAAGCTTGGCTACTGAGTGAGATTACTGAAATGCACACCGAGGGGAATAAATAAAAGCAATGCCTTGAGCCACTGAGAAATTCATTTTCCCATTTCAGCACAGGGAAAAGAGTGCGCTTGTCCTTGGCCACTCAACTGTGGGTAGCAGAGTTGAAATTAGGAGGAAACAACTGGGAGACAGCAAAATCAGTCTGAGTGCATAATATACTCTGAGAACACCCCCCCCCCCCCCCCTTTCAATATACACATTGGTAACTTGATGACCTCCTACAACAAAGGTACACAAGGGGAAAGCAGGTCAATGAACCATGAGAGTCTGTGGCATACATGTTACGAAGATAATTTGGAATTAGTGCACAGGAACAAGCAATATTGTTCACTTACGACAGTGAACTTTAAGGAGTCTGAAAACCATGCAGAAACGTTCAAATCCCGGGTAGAAATGTGATCATTCTCAGTGCTTAAAAATTAAAATGCACCTCATCTTTTCACAAATGAGACTAAGTGATATGTGCTATCACCTGTCCTTTTAAAAATATAATGGACTTTCTTAGTGCTCTTGATAACCAGCTTTGGTGTTGCCTTGAATACTATCCATGACACGGACCTGCAGAAGGAAATATTACATTCAAACCAAACATGAGAAACACATTTCCATTACAGAATCACACTGTACCAGATGAAAATGGTGTTTATTATGTCTCTTAACCACACTCCGCCTAACATGATGAGATCTGGGACATATTCTTGGGATTTTACATTTCATCAGAATATAGAATGGCAATGAATTGATATCATTTTACTATTTAATGACTGGTTCATGTACGGGATGCAGTCTTTCAGCAGTTAGGATTACAGAGGCTTTAAGCAATATTTGAAAATCCAAGCATGTTACCACCTTCTGTGAAATCCATTTATTACTTTGAAAGGATCACGAACCCAATCAACACACTGACTTCATTCAGATTCGTCTCACTTCCCCCATCCCCACCCCCTTAGCCTGTATTTATTTTGGAAATAAAAACAGGAGCTTGATCATTTGTATTATTGTTCCAAAATCAAAACACAAGCTATTCCACTGCTCAATTTTTTAGCTTCCTGACTGTGTATTTAACATGAGACTAGATCGGTCCCCAGGTCAGTATCAGTGGTCTTTCTCGCGTTTCAAATCTGTAAACTGGGAGCTAATTGTATGAACCATTTTAAATATGAAATACCTCAAGAATGAAATATGGATATCCTTACTCCTAAATGTTTCCTTGTGTTAAAGCGACTTTGTACAGCACCCTTAAACACACAGAAAACTTAAGGGGAAGTTTCATAAAAGGTGTTTGTTTCCGCGGCCCACTGAGATCAACTGCAGCTCACACCACAGACAAAGTTAGCCAGTAACCTGTGTAGACATGAAGACCCACCATCCTGAAACAAACACGCAGGTAATCACACTTATGTAGAAGTGGAAAACAGAAGCAACACCAGAACCCCTACTGTCTTAACATTTTTAAGCTCTCCAGGGCGCTGACAAGGCACTAAAAGGTGAGTGAAAGCTTTATGTTTTGATACAGAATACACATACTGCCATTGTCTAATACTCCTCATAGCCAAAATGCATCAAAAAGAAAAAAAGAGGAAATAATATCGATTCTGTATTTCATTCAGTAAG